ACAAAAAAAAAAAAAAAAAAAAATCCAAAAAATCCGAAACAAAACTATGTTATGCAGAAAAATAAACTGAACAACTTTTGCCTCAGGGTCACATCTATTTTGGCCCGGTCGGGCAAGTGACCCCGGGCCACTCTGGTAGCCTAGGTTTCGGGGTTAAATTTTATGTTTTTTTATTTTATTTTTTTGCCTGTTCTTGTTTTGGTTCAAGGTTGGTGTGTGCCAAATTTTGTGTCATTTGGAGAATTGGACTTTCCTCTGTTAAGATTTCTGAAATTTCTCAAGATTTCTGAAATTGAGATGTTGGCGAAATTTCATGAAAATGCACTTTTGCCTTGCTGTTTTATATGTTTTTTATTTTTTTACCCAGCTCCGGCCAGCATCGTTCTGGCATCAAAAAACCGCAGATCCATGAATATAACAGCATTAAAAAAACCTAAAATGAGTTGCAAGAGATGCCCAGAATCCTAAGGCATTCTCAAGACTTTCCTCATGAGATAGGGTAAATCCGAAAAGGCTTGGAAAAATATGAGAGCGTGGAGTCGAAACTGAAACTGCCTACTATCCAAAAACTCCCCCCCTCAACAGACGAAACGTCGGTCCAGGCTTTCAGTCCTCATACCAGAACTCACTTGATCTTATACCCCCTTCTACTAGGGTAACAGGGCACCACAACCCTCCCTAGTACTGACCAACCTAGTTCTGACGGACAGGAAGTGGCTTCCTCCCTCGACAATTCCCTTAGCGGCAAGCCCCTGACACAGGTTACAGGGTCAATACCCCTGCGCCGGCTACGTCGAACGGTCTGGTTATGCCTTCCACCCTCGGCATAACTCCACAGGCCTCAAGCATCCCCTAGGTCCAAAGCAAAAGCTCCAACACCGGCCTGTGTCGTCCCAGCATCGTCCTTCTAACCTACTTACCTTAACAAACAACCTTCCTCTATTGAGAGCCCCCTTACTACCTTCCATCCTCCAATTCTAATTCCCCCTCCTTCCCTCCTTTTTTCTAGATACCAGGGCCATTACCTGGCTTCGGCTAAGAAGAAACAGAAAAACAGGAAACACAAAATTCACCCACGATCCAGCTCCTTCCCCGCACCGCAGAGGGAAGACTGCTGCCCAGACATTCAGTCCTCGTACCAGAACACGCTAGATCTCATAGCCCCCTTGCTAGGGTGACAGGACAACACCAACTGCCCCAGTACCGACCGAACTAGTTCTGACGGACAGAAAGTGTCTTCCTCCCCCGACAGTTTCCTTAGCTGCACAACCCCCACAGTTACAGTGTCACTGCCCTGACAACAGCTACGTTGAACAAGATGGTTATGCCTTCCACCCTCGACATAGCTCCAATAGTCTCAAACTCCCCCTGGTTATAGAGCACCTGCTCCAGCACCGACCATTGTCACCCCACCTCGCCCTTCTAATAGACCTACCATCCTGAACACC